ATGGGAATTCTTTTCTGAGTGATTATGGGGTTTTAACTTTCCTCAATTGATGGTAAAATTGAATTAGCATCGAGGACATCGAATTTTGCATTGGTCTTGGAGTTGTGAATATTAAATTTCTATGTTATAATTCTAGCACTATGGAGTAAAAGAGTTCTAATATCTTGGAAAAAAGAGAACAAGGTCATTTGTGTGCACAAAATGGAGATTATATATTAGGTGAACTTTGATGTCATACATAAATAAATCATGTGGATTTGAAAAGGATTGGAATGATGATTTATTAGAAGAAGTCTAAAGTGGTATGGAAGTTTTATGGATGTTGATTTTGTAGGACAGTATAGGAGTTTTCTGGAAAAGAAAAAGTTATTATATCACACATGATTCGAAGTTAGAGTGAAATGATGGTTTTGTTTTTTTTATGTTGAGGAATTACCTGTATAGTGGAAGACTTGGAAACTTTTTACTAATTTTAAGAGTAAGTCTCTCTTGTTAAATAGACGTGAATGTGAGACATAAAAAAATAGTGCTTCGAATTTTGAAGGATTATGATATGATCATTGCTTGTCATCTTAGTAAGGTTAACAAGGTTGCAAATTCTTTGAGTAGGAAGTTCTTGTCTAATTTACCATATTTGGTTACTGAAAGGAGTTGTTTTGAGGGGATTAGATAAATATGAAAGTTAGATTATGAGCGTGTTTGAGTAAACTTGTAACTACTAGTAAGTGTAACTTAGCTAATAAAGAACATTAGAATTGCACATGTAGAATAATGATTTGCTCGAGGAAGGAAACTAGTTGGAGACATGATTTAAAATGGTGTTTATTGAGAATTATGGTAATAATTCATTCAAGGATGGTGAATTTGGTTGTCATTAATAGGTTGATTAAGTTTGCTGATTTTCTTCACATCAATATTAGTATGTCAATAGATAGATTGGTAGAGTAATATGATAAGGAAATAGGAAGGATTATTATATTGATCACTTAATTTATCTTGTGATTTTAAAGAATTAACGAAGAAGGTTTGGTGAAATTAAGGTTTGAGGTTTAAAATTATGATGAATTATTTCTTTAAATAGTGGTAAATGATTTTGGTTGATTTATGACTTAACAAAGTTTAAAATTGTGATCATGAATTGGAGTGGGATTAATTTAAGTTGTTATCCAATGATTAATTTTCGGTACCCATAAGGTCTTATGATTGATTGATGAGTCATTCATGAAAATCTAGGAAATGAAGAGATTGCTTTTACTTTAAGAGGATGATTGAAGAGGAAATTATAAAAAAGGCATGGCATAATTGTTGTGAAGTTATGGTAGGGTACCCATAACGAGAAGAGAAACAACGTAAAAGTTGGATGATGAACGAGGAAATGAAAAAGAAATATCGGGAGTTGTTCATAGACATGTTAAGAGCTTGTGTTTTAGATTTGAAAGGTGCCTGGGATGAATATTTGCCCTTAGTTGAGTTTGCCTACAATAATAGTTATCGGGCAAGTATCTAGATGACGCCTTATGAGGCTTTATATGGCAAAAAATGTATGTCCTCGATATGTTAGGATGATGTGGGAGAAAGAAGAAGGTTAGGACTGGAACTTGTTCAATAGACTGTAGAGAAGATACAACTAATTAGAGAACCTCTTTGTATAGCTCAAAGTAGGCAAGAGAGATATATTGATAGTCAAATGCGTGATCTAGAATTTCAAATGGGAGAAAAGGTTTTCTTGAAAGTTTCACCAACTAGAGGAGCCATAAGGTTTGGGATTCAAGGAAAACTTAATCCTCGGTTCATTGGTTCCTTTGAGATTTTAGAGAGAGTTGGAAAGGTAGTCGACATATTAGCAGTACCACCTAATTTGCCAAAAGCTCATAATGTTTTCCATGCCTCCATGTTAAGGAAATATGTTTCGGACCCTAGCCATATAATTGAGCATTCTCCACTTCAACTTAAAGAGGATTTGTCTTACGAGGAGTGTCCAGTTCATATTGTGGATAGAAAAGATCAGGTGCTAAGAAGATGAATAATTCCTTATGTTAAGATTCAATGGAGTAATCATATTGAACATGAAGCCACATGGGAGTTAGAGAAGGATGCGAGGAAGAAGTACCCATACGTATTTGTTGATGCAAGTACGAGTTTAGGGACTAAACTCTTTTAAGGGGGAGAGGATGTAATACCCAAGGATTTCTTACTTAAGATTTAAATAAATTGTTTAAGCTCTTAGAGGGTGTATATGTGATGGAATTAAATTTGGAGTTGAAATTATAATGAT